GTAGGAATATGGAGTGAACACATCAGCCATGATCTTATTGAATGGTAGAAAAAGTTCAAGCAGCCAAGTGGCCTACTCCAGCTCCTAATCCATATGTTCATATGTTTGCATGTAAAACATTCCCAGGAACTTCATTGGAATGATGATCAAGCAAAATTAAACACTAAGCAAAACAGAGAGAGGTTAGGACAGGTTATGAAAGCATGGTCAAAGAGCTAAATGAAGAAGGCAAGGTAGAGAAGAGGAAAAATTTAGGGAATTAATTCCAGAGCTTTTCCAGCTTTGTTTTTTTTACCAACTGATAGTAATAATTTGTCCCAAAACATATGCTTCATTTGATTTTTGTTGTGTTTCCAGTAGAATTTAGCTCAGTTCCTTTCAAGCTTTTTTTTTCCTGATATAACAATATCACTCTGGATCTCCCTCCCCTTTTTCATAATATCTGTTCTATACTATCTCTGAAAAGAAGGCATGGACCAAGAATTTCCTGCTGGTAGAAATTTTGGCCCTAAGTCTGCTGTCAACTGTGGCTTAATTTGTAGCACTTTCACTTCTCAACCTTGGGCTGCAAATAAATGTTAAACATATAATTGAGGGTGCACAGCATTAGATCATACAATCACCTTGCTTTTCCACGCTCAAAACCACACACACAAAGAACGTCTTATCTTTTTAGTCCCAAGCTGAACCCACCTTTGGCCTATCAAATATACTGTTTCTCCTCAACAACAATAATTTATAAGTTGCCTTACTCCAGAAGACATTTGGTAAGTGTCAAAGGTTATTAGGGAAGACTAAAGCTTCATGGTGTAAGGAGTAACATACTGAGATGGAAAGAAGATTAAATAGCCAACAAGAAATAGTAGGGATAAATTGGTCACTTTCTGGATGGCAAGACAAAATGAGTAGTGTGCCACAGGGTTCAGTGTTGGGGTATTAACTTTTCAGAATTTATTTATAAATGACCTGGGTGAAGGGACTGAAGGTATCTTTGCCAAATTTGCCAATGTCACCAAAATAAGTAGCAAGGTAAGTTATGAAGAGGTTATGGAGACCACAAGGGATACAGTAGGTTAAGTGTATGTGGGCAAAGATCTGGTAAATGGAAATAATAAAATGGAAAATGTGATATTGTCCATTTTGACAGGAAGAATAAATAAGCATATTATCTCCATGGTGAGAGATTGAACAGCCCTTAGATAGATAGGGATGAGGGTATCCTACAGCGTAAATTGTAAAGGTATAAAGGTACAGTAAGTAATTAAAAATCCTTTAGAATATTAATATTTATTGTGAAGGGAATTGAATAAAAAGTGGAGAGGTTATGCTTTAGTCATACAGGGCATTGGTGAGACCACATCTGGAATGCTGCATATATTATTGACATCCTTAATTAAGAAAGGGTGCAAGTATGTTGGAAACAGTTCAAGAAGGACTACAAGATAATAGTTGTGATGGATGTGTTATGATATTAAGAAAGACTGGTCAGGCTTGGCTTGTATTAACTAGAGCTTTGAAGAGTAAAGGTGATTTGATTAATACATGTAAGATTCTGAGGTGTCTTGACAGAGTTGATGTGGAAATGATGTTTTCTTTTAAAGAGGAATCTAGAACTAGGGGTTGTTGTTTAAAAACAAGGGGTCACCCATTGAAACAAAGAAAAGAATGTTTTCCTCAAAGAGGGTCATGAGTCTTTGGAATTCTCTTCCTCAATAGGTGGTGTAGGCAAAGTCTTTGAATATTTTTAAGGTAGAGATAGGTAGATTCCTGAAAAGAGGGTAAAAGAATCAAGTGTGGGTGGGAATATGGAGTAATCAGATCAGCCACGATCTTATTGAATGGCAGAACAGGCTTGAGCAGCCAAGTGGCCTGCTCCTAATCCATATGTTCATATGTTTGTATGTAAAATATTCCAAGGAACTTCATGAGAGTGATGATGGAGCAAAATTAAATACTGAGCAGTACAGGGAGATGCTACGACAGGTTACGAAAACTTGGTCAAAGAGGTAAAGGAAGAGAGAAGGGCAGAGAAGTGGAAAAGTTTAGGGAATTCATTTCAGAGCTTTTCCAGCTTTCTTAACAACTGACAGTAATAATTTGTCCCAAAACATATACTTCATTTGATTTTTGTTGTGTTTCCACAGAACTTAGATCAGTTCCTTTCAATTTTTTTTTCCTGATACAACTATAAACATTACTCTGGAAAATGACACCAGCACAGGTTGTTGTTTCCAGGATTCTGCTCCAACTACAGCACTGCATTCAAAATCAAAAGTTAAAATGTTTTAAACAGAAGTCGCAAAAACTTAAGCCACAACTTTTAAGTTGTTAAACAATAATCATTTTATCTTCATTCTTCACTGAACATCTCCCTCTCCATGACACAAATAATTTTCCTGAGGACAGGATCTGACTCAGTCTTCTGTGTGAGTCTGTAATATGACAAAGGAAAAGTTCCAACGTCAATTTCCCATTTTTGTATATAAGAAAGTGCAGAACACCAGTGGCTTTCAGACCAGTTTTTTCCTCTTTGTCAGTTAGTTCATGATCATAAAGAGGCTTATCATGGAAGGTAATGGACATAGCCACCATTCCAAGTTTGTTGTCTGTCATTCTGATATGCAGCACAAAGTTCTACCATCTCAACACAAGCCTCCTCCATCCAGGTAGAAACCACACTGCCACCTCTGAGTCAACCAATGCATGGCCAAGTTTCACTTCCATCACCAGCTTTTCCAATTATTTTTGGACTTCTCGCTAAAATTGAATTCCTAGTAAAATATAAGCAGTCTGAAGAAGGGTTTTTGTATGCTTCACTGTTTTGCAATTGTACCTTCATTTTGGTATAAATCAGAGCCTCCTTGAGTTACAACAGTTTGGTCACCTCACAGGAACTCCAACATATTTTTGTCAAATCTCTGCTTAAATCTCACCCTGTTTAAGAATGCAAGAGTTTTACAATCTGTACAAATCTGAACAGAAAAAATACTAAATAATCTAGCTTTTTCATAAAGTTTATTGAAGCTCTTAAATGACACTGTAAAATTTGAATCAGTATCTAATATCTAACAAATGTCCATTGAAAGGCTGAGGGACTTGAGGCTGTTTTTGTTAGAGAGAAGAAGGTTAAGAGGTGACTTAATAGAGACATACAAGATGATCAGACGATTAGATAGGGTGGACAGTGGGAGCCTTTTTCCTCGGATGGTGATGGCTAGCACGAGGGGACGTAGCTTTAAATTGAGGGGTGATAGATAGGACAGATGTCAGAGGTAGGTTCTTTACTCAGAGAGTAGTAAGGGCGTGGAATGCCCTGCCTGCAACAGTAGTAGACTCGCCAACTTTAAGGGCATTTAAATGGTCATTGGATAAACACATGGCTGATAATGGAATAGTGTAGGTTAGATGGGCTTCAGATTGGTTTCACAGTTCGGCGCAACATCGAGGGCTGAAGGGCCTGTACTGCGCTGTAATGTTCTATGTTCTACTATTTTAATGGAAGTAGTAAACTTCATTTTTTTAAAATGCATTCATGGGAATTTGGCATTGCTAATAACTGCATTTGTTGTCCATCCCAAACTGCCTTTGAACAGGTGATGGTGGAGCCACTGTTTTGACTACAACTGAGTTGGTAGCTATTCCACTTCAGGGGTCTTTTAAGAGTCAACTTTATTGATTGTGGGTCTGTAGTCACATATAGGTCAGATCAGGTGAAGATGAGAGTTTCCTTTCTAAAAGGTCAACAGTGAACTGGATGGATTTTACATGGAAAACCAGTAGTCTCATGGCCACTGTAACTGATAGAGCCTTATTCATTTCAGATTTTAATTAATTAGACATATTTCCTAGCTGCCAAATGGAACCTGAACTCCTAACTCCGGGATCATTAGGCCGGGTGTCTGGATTACTATCCCAATGACAAAGTAACATTCATGAATCCTGTGTAAATGCATTGTATTAAACTGCATAATTTCAAATTGTTTAAAGACATTTTGATTGTACTTGGGAGCCAAGTTTAATTAACATTCGTGATAAATTTTAGAAAGTGGCCTGATACAGCACATTGTTTATGTAATATACAATATAGTGACAATAAAAATCTAACCCAAACTAAGAGCTCAAATATTGAACAAGGATTTCGTTTTTCAGACAACTATTTCAATAGCTTTTGTTTGGACTGAAGAGATCATTTTATCAACCATTTAAACATTTTGCATCAGAGTCAAGTCTCATTTCTTACACCCCTATAAACCTGTTACCTCTTGAGTCAGGGACAAATGCAATTAAAAATAAAAGAGGACATACAGCAGAACTTGATGTGCCTAAATTAATTTGTGACCTGCGCAGTTTTATCTTAGCTAACTCACATCGCGGACAATTAATGACCGTAGAATAAATTCCAGAAAAAAAAATCCCCAAGCCTCACAGGAGAGCAGGGAATCCAAGACATTTAACTTTGCACTGACTCGTCCTTGAGGACGAACACTGTTTCTCAAAAAAACCCCACAATCCTCAAGGGACAGATCTTTAAAAAAAAGGATTAAAAAAATGTAAACAATGCACACTTAAAATCTCCAGGCTACTGGGTGCTGTTGATCCGTACTGTTTTTATTACAGTTCAGTTCACAAACAATTGTGTATAGATAGAGAGGGGGAGTGGAAACCGAGAAGGGGGGGGGGGGGGGCGGAATCCGAACATTAAAACAAAAGGTCGGTTTAAATTTAAACTGTGGGTAAACTCCGCGCCAAGGAAACATCCTCCTCCCTTTCCCTTTGGATTAAATAAGGAGTACTGTTGTCTTGAGAACTAGCGATCAAAACACTGCAAACAATGTGGGTCTCATCAATAATAACCTCCCATCTCCGGCGGATCCCCCGGACAGGCCGAAATATCCCGGCCGCCGGGATCCCGCAGCTCGGGGGAGGGAATCACAAACTCACCGGTGTCCGGGCTGGAGCGCGGCGATCCCGGTCGGTTAGAGCTCAGAGCTCCGAGTTACACTGAAGCCAAAGTCTCGGCTCCATCCTTCGCCATGACAGATTGTGAGGAGCTCTCACCCCTGACCTCCCACCTCTCACCCTACACCCCCCCCTTCCCCACCCCCACCGGAACTGGAGGGAGGGCTCCCTGCAGCCCCTGGGACCTGTCTCAGTGCCGTTGCTCCCAGTGCTCAGGATCACACACAGCCACAAAGAAAGTGCTTGGAAATATTGGTGCTTGGGGATTTTTTTTTGTTGTGTGTGTGTGTGCAAAAGATCCTCACAGTTGGGAGTGTTGACAGCCGCTTATCTAAGTGCCAAGTCTCACTCACAGAGTAAGGCACTCTCTCTCTCACTTTGGATTAAACCTGACCTATTTTGCACAGCTATTAATATATCAGAAATCCTACGCATTTTCTGCCAATTATGCATTTCCGTGGCTCAACGTCAGAAGGGAAACTGCTAATGCCAGCTGGCTGTGCTGTAGTTGCACCCCAGCCCTCCCATTTGGAGGCACTGCAGCCCTGCCCCTGGCTGCAGGGCGTGATTGTGACATGTTTACATTGATTATTTTCATTATACATGTGCATATATGAGAAGCCTGTCAAAATGTGCCTCAACTACATCTACACACCCTGCACTATTGGGTTCTCTACCTTCTAACCTCGTTCCATTTGAAGGCTACACATGGTCTCAGTTCCCTGTTTATTTTTACACAGGGGTTGACAAATATATTGGCTCGGATTTTGTACTGAGCACAATAGATGAACAGCACTCGTCATTATATCATTATATTAAACACCAACTTCCAGAGTGCATGCAAAGTAAATATGACAATCCAGAAGCTGCAGTCTCCACAGACTGTAATGGTATATCGTTGATAGACTCAGCGTTGAAATCATTGGGTGTGAAGTTACTGCGCTTACACACCACTTAGGAAATGTTAGGTCTAGTGAATTTTTAGTGCCCTGATTAGTCAAAACTACTACTAAGCAGCCTCTCTGGCCCTGAAAAATGCATTTTACAAGTATGAAACTATGTTCCTTCAGAATGTAATTACAGTTGAAGCTTTAAAACACAATACATTTGTTTTAGTTTTTCAGTGTCTTTTTGTATCCCCATCTTTATTTGATCTTTCTTTTCCAATCTATGTTTTCATTCATGTTATGTAATTTAAATCTAATTTATAATTGGTGACTTCCATATTTAGACTGTGTCTCATTGTGGATAATTGAAGAATTTCACTGTCTCTTGCACTGCCGACATGTTACTGCTTGTCTCTCACACATTTCACAAAAAAATCAATATATATGGTTCAATAGGATAACTAACAACAACCAAAAATTATCTTAAAAAGATAAAAAAATCAAAAGTGAGAAAAGTAATTATTTTATGCATTTTTTCCAAATCTGACGTTTTCTGAAAGGTAGGAATCAATGTTTTACAATCACATTCTAACATAGAGATAATTTTCCTGTAGCAATAGCAATAAAGGCAGCATGGAAATTTAAAATTGATATGCTAAAATTAAATAGATTCATAGAGATGTCGAGCATGGAAACAGACCCTTCGGTCCAACTCGTCCACATTGACCAGAAATCCTAAATTAATCTAGTACCATTTGCTAGCATTTGGCCAGTATTCCTCCAAACCCTTCCTTTTCATATACCCATCCAGATGCCTTTTAGATGTTGTGATTGTACTAGCCTCCACCACCTCCTTTGGCAGCTCATTCTATACATGTGCCACCCTCTGCAGGAAAAAGTTGCCCCTTAGGTCGTTTTAAATCTTTCCCCTCTCACCTTAAACCTATGCCCTTTAATTTTTGACTCCCCTATCTTAGGGAAAAGACCTTTGTTATTCACCCTATCCATGCCCCACACGTTTTTATAAACTTCTGTAAGGTCACCCTTCAGCTTCCAATGCTCCAGTGAAAGTAGCCCCAGTCTATTCAACTTCTCCCAATAGCTCGAATCCTCCAACGCAATCCATGTAAATCTTTTCTAAACCCTTTCAAGTTTCACACATCTTTCCTAAGGCAGGAGACCAGAATTGAACGCAGTATTCCAAAAGTGGCCTAACCAATGTCCTGCACAGCCATAACATGACCTCCTAACTCCTTCACTCTTTGCACTGACCAGTAAACACAAGCATATCAAATGCCTTTTTCACCACCCTGTCTACCTTCAACTCCTCTCTCAAGGAACTATGAACCTGCACCCCAAGGTACCATTGTGTGGCAACACTCCCAGGAACTTACCATTAATTGTATAAGTCTTGCCCTGATTTGCCTTTCCAAAATGCAAAAACCTCACATTTATCTAAACTAAACTCCATCTGCCACTCCCTGGCCCATTTGCTCACCTGATCAAGATCCCATTGTACTCTGAGGTAACCTTCTTTGCTGTCCACTATACAACCAACTTTGGTGTCATCTGCAAACTTACTAACCATGCCTCCTATATTTACATCCAAATAATTTATATCAGTGACAAAAAGCAGTGGACCCAGCACTGATCCTTGCAGCACGCTGCTGGTCACAGGCCTCCAGTCTGAAAACTAATGCTTCACCACCACCCTGTCTCCTACCTTCGAGCAAATTTTGTGTCCAAATGGCTAGCTCTCCCTGTATTCCATGTAACTTAAGCTTGCTAACCAGTCTACCATGTGGAATCTTGTCGAACACCTTATTGAAGTCCATATAGACGACATTAACAGCGCTGCCTTCATCAATCTTCTTTGTCACTTCTTCAAAAAACCCAATCAAGTTAGTGAGACACAATTTCCCACATTGAGCCACCTTGGCAGCATACTAATTCTGCCAGAGGAACAGTCCAGAGGAACACCAGGGAAGACAGGAAGAAGATTAGTGACCCTCTGTGCTTTTAGCAGTAGTGCCACCATTTTGCCTCTACTAACCCACACTCTCTACTACCTCAGTATTGCCCCCACCTCCCACCAAGACTCATAGTCTACCGCTCTATCATACACAACTGGTTCCTTCACTTGCTCTCACCCACACAATTCCCCTTACACTACAAATACTGCATGACCTCTACGCTATCTATTCACTCACCCAACAACTCACCTTTGTCCTACTTGCACCGGGACTAACAGCTGTGCCAGCGACTTTCATCTCACTCAATTCCCTCACTTTGTCTCATTCTAGGAGAAAAAGGCCCACTGTATGAACGTACAAACAAGGAATGAGAGTAGGTGACTCAGCCCTTTCAGTCTGCTCTCCCTTGCAATAAATCATGGCTGATCTGATCTTTAACCTCAACACTATATTCCTGCATATCCCTGATAAGCTTTCATCTCCTTGGGAATCAAGAGGGCAAAAAAAGAGCCAAGACAGGTGTGGGGTGCCTGACATTCAGCACCTTACCCTCTTTAAAGTTGCTGACCCCGACACCTCAAGCAGCCAACTGAAAGTTTCCAAACTCGTGGATTTATATTGGAGCCTGCCCTTAACCTACTTGGGACCCCCTGACTGAAGGGTGAGTCACTGGATTTGACCAAGGACTATTCCCCTTAGCTGTTGAGAGATGGCCATTTGGTTGATGCACATGCAGTGTGATAGCCATGAATGCTGTTGATACATGGTGCAGGTGTGAGATTGTTGTAGCATGGTGACATACAGCAATAGAGCAAGTGAGGAGCCTTGAGATGCACACTTAGCCAATCCATGAGTTAGGTGTCTGTCCGGTAATGAAAAGTGTTGATGCATTCCAAAATTCTGGTTTGTATTACTCTGCAAAATTCTGCAACCCTGATAGCAGTGGAGGACAGAAATTTCAGCAAATCAATAGACTGAGCAGCTTTTAATGATTCAATTATAATGTTACAGCTAGAGTTGATACAAATAACAAGCCTGTCTAGTTGTGCCCTTGCAATGCAGTGGTCATGTCCCTACCTCTGGGCTAGGAAGCTCTGATTCAAGTCCGACCAGCTCCAGAGGTATATAATAATATGGGTGAACAGGTTGTTTATAAAATATCAAATATCAAAGGTCACTTGTTAGGGCTGTTGTGATGCAGTGTAATATCCATTGCTCTGAGCCAAGCAGCCTGTGTTTAAGACCCATTTGCTGCAGATGTGTGTAATAATATTTAAGTGCAGGTTGATTAGAAAGTATCTAGAAACGTTTCCTGTTTGGGCAAGTGCCAAGAAACAGTGGGCACAGATTTAAGGTGGTTGGCAAAGCAAAAGGTCTCTAATGGTGCAGTGGTAGTGTCTCTACCTCTCAGCTCCTACCTGATCTAGACATTTGTAGCAATATCTATGAACAGTTTAATTCGAAAGATCAACAATTTGTTGTGTTGTACTGCCCCTAGTGGGCAGTACATGTAAGTTGTTCATTTAAATTGATGACGTGGGTAATTTGGTGGTGGTTTTACAAACAAATCTATTGTTGCTGAGAGACTTGTACTAGTTGTATCTCTATCTCTACATTACATGCCCTGTGTTCAAGTCCTGCCTGCCTGCAAGGTATATCATAACATTTCTCAGCAGGTTGATTTAAAAATAACATTGGACTCTGTTAAGTTCTTTGCATTTGATGAAAGTTAGGTCTATTAGGGGGTCATCTCAAAACATCACTGAGTGGTTCATGATGTGTCTTCATTGATAGATTGGTTCTACTAAAAAACTTTTAAAATTAAAAATGAGGTAGTTTGCAAGACTCATTCAGTGCTGTGATTCCTATTTCACAATTTTAAAAAAAGCAGATATGATCCAGATATGAATGCAATATACTCTGAAAAGCTTTTGTATACTGTGGTACATAAATAGAATTGAGTCTCTGAATTCATGTTTGCACAGTTCTGTTTGACCAGTCTTAGGTACATGTACAGATAAAGTTCATTCTTATTTAAATAAATATTTACACAGCCTAAATTAAAATTCCAGCTTGACCATTTATTTCTACCCTCTGATGTCAACAAAAATTATGTTCATTAAAATCAGCAATTTAACTGGAATGTTACGTCCTCAAAACTAGCTAATGTGGAATAATTCTAAATAAAAACCGAAAGAACTGCAGATGCTGTAAATCATGAACAAAAACAGAAGATGCTGGAAAAGCTCAGCAGGTCTGGCACATCTGTGAAGAAAAATCAGAGTTAATGTTTCAGGTCTGGTGACCCTTCCTCAAAACTCAGATTAAATTCTGTTAACTGTCTCATTGATCTATTAAAATTACTCGCCGTAACATTGAATCTCTTCCAAAGAAACTAATCCCAGCCTCCTTAAATGTTCTTCATTACAAAATGTAGCCCATGCAAATAAAATATTCTGGACCAATTACAAAATGAGGAGAAAAGCAAGCCAGAACATGAGACAATTATAGGGTTGGAGTATTTTGCAACAGAAACATTTGAAAATGTAATATTTTAAAATTGCTGAAGACTAAAATCACTTATGTACTGAGTCCAATGGAGTATTAATAAAATTTAACTGACCTATGAACCGTTAACACTTACTGAAATTCCAAAACTTTCTGCTATACAAGAAAAGCACAAACCAAAATGTATTTGACGTGAATGTTCCAGTCCAAAGATTGATTGTCCAGAATTTGTAATGTTTATTATTGCATTAAAATTAATAAAAAAATTATTGATTTCCTTATGCACAGCCAGAATGGGTCTTACACAGAGAACAGCCAGAAGTCACACACCAAACAACTAACACACAGAAATCCATACATACAGAGTGCTACACATGCAAATACGTAAAGCAACAAATGAATTTCTGTGATAAGAATGAGCTCATAGATGGCAATGACAAGAGATCAGAAAGAAGAAGAGGACATGAGTTAGGGGTGGGAGAGACGGGGGCAATTCATGCGCGAGCAAAGACACAGTATGCAGTAAAAAAGTTCTGAATATTGCTTTAAAATGTGAACGTCAACAACAGCATATTTTATTTACAAAATAAGGGCCTAAAAATTGAAAAAAAGTTGCAAATAAATAATGTATGAGTTTGAAATGTTTTACAAAAATATTCATTTTGATCTGTTACCTTCTATATTACGTAAAATCACTTCCATTTGTTTATTTGTGAACTATGGTCACAATAATGTCAGTTTCTGCATTTGAAACATGAGTATGGGGTTGTATAGAATACTGAAATTGCAATAAGACTATTTCAGCTCGAAACAGTGAACTCGGGGAAAGACATAGAATTAGTTGCAGGGACTTTGATGGAGAGACAATGATTTCAGCCTTCTTATTTTTAATTGGAAATTGTGGTATATTCTGGAGTGGATACTGAACAAGTAGTGAAACAGTTGAGTTAGCAGAGACTGTGAGGTGGTGCAAAGATACAGCTGACCCCATGTTTGCAGATAGACAGTGCAGCGAAGAGGATGAAGAGAGATAATGATAGATTCATAGAGCACTCTTGGGTATAACAGTATGAAAGCAGGAAGAGAAACAATTTCTTGTGATATCCTGGTTATAGAAGATTTGGTAGTGTAGTAATATCATGGCAGCTGGTGCGATTCAAGTTCAAATAATAAAATCTGAAGAAGGGTCACCGGACCCGAAACGTTAACTCTGTTTTTTGACTTCACAGATGCTGCCAGACCTGCTGAGCTTTTCCAGCAACTTTGTTTTTGTTCCTGATTTACAGCATCCGCAGTTCTTTCAGTTTTAATAAAATCTGGAATTGGAGCTATTTGAAATAGCGGTGACCACAAAACTATAATTGATTGTCATAAAACTCTATCACGTGCACTAGTGTAATTTAGAAATGGAAATCTGGCATGCTTAGCTGGCCTGGCCTACATGTGACTCCATATCCACAATAATGTGGTTGATCTCAGCTACCCTCTGAAATGGTCTAGGAAGCCTCACAATTCAAGAGCAATTAGGGAAGGGCAACAAATTCTTGCTTTGGCTGTGATGGCCACATCCCATGAAAGAATATTTAAAAAAATGAGGTCCAGTCTAAGAAAGGAGACAATTTGAAGGATGATGACTTTGGAGAAACAAAATGAATTCTGGATGAACTCAGAGATGGCATGACAACAGATTGGAAAGAGGAAGAAGACATGAGGTGAGGCATGGGAGAGACTGGACAATTTTTCATTGGGCAAAATAAAGAAGATAAGAAACAGAGGAAGCTAGACAGATGGTCTCAGCCTTAATGACAAAGAGGGCCATGACGTTCTTGCACATGTTGAGGATCAGGAGGGAAGAGGTACTCTCAACTGCTTCATTAATGACCTTCATCATGGTGGGTACTATGCAATTAACCTAATATTAAAACAAAAATGCCAGGCCAAAGCACCACCTAGACTGTACCTGGGTTTGAGTTGGCATATGTGTGAAACATTAAATAATGGCCATTTCAACAAGGAAAAAGACTTAAACATCTCTCCAACCACCACTGCCAAGTATTTCGCTGTAAACAATTTGGAAACTAGTTGTCATGAGAAGCTTAATTTCATCAGCTATTTTAAAGCTGTAAGAACAGGCAAAAAGCTAGGTACTCTTGGGGATATGTTTTTTTGGATCAGAACATAGTATTTCTCCATAATCTTTAAAGGATAAATCAGCAATGTGATGGAATACTCATTGGCTGTTGATAGCCACAGCTGCAGCAATCTCCACCTTGCATAGAATTTGATCTTAACAATGCCAACACTGTCAGCAGTCAACTATGGTTGCATGACAAATTATCTCCATGTTGCAGTTCTTCCTTTCACAGCACCAGACATTACCTCATAGCCAAGACAACAAGGTGCAGGGCTGGATGAACACAGCAGGCCAAGCAGCATCATAGGAGCAGACCTCATAGCCCTCTTGATCCCAACTCTTGAGAACTCAAACACCTTCCCTTCTCTTTCTTTGAAAATGTTCATCAAGCACATTTTCCAACTTACTTTTAGCCATTTTTATCAGCTCATAATCTACTCCCTTCATCCATTTTATTCCATGCTCAGCTCTCTGTAATGTGTCAAAATGCTACCTAAATTCAAGTTTATTTCAGCGGTGAGTCAGGAGCAACACTGTTTTAGTGGCAGATTAGAATCTGGGATGCACAGTGTGAAAGTTTTAGTTTTTAATTCAGGCATTAAAAAGGGAATTGGATAGTTAATGAGATAACAAGGTGTGGAGCTGGATGAACACAGCAGGCCAAGCAGCATCAGAGGAGCAGGAAAGCGGACATTTCGGGTCTGGACCCTTCTTCAGAAAGTAGCTTTCCTGCTCCTCAGACGCTGCCAGACCCGCTGGGTTTCTCCAGCAATTTGCGTTTTTGTAGCAGATTTCCGGAATCTGCAGTTCTTTTTTCATAGATTTGATTGAATCTCATGGTGTGGCATATATCTGAGTTTCAAAGAGAAACTCGGTAGAACTTAAAAACGAAAGTAGCTTCATCTGCTTCATGAGAATAGCATTTTTTGACAAACTCGAAACCTCTGAGGAAGTGGACGCATTATTACAGAGGCTGCAATAACATTGGATTGCACTGAAACAATAACACTGCAAACCCAAGTTGCAATGTATTTGTTACTATAGGGATCAGGGGCCACGTGACACAGCCCCACGCGCGCCGGGCCCCGCCCCTTTCCGATGCATCACGTCCGCCGACGTAACACAGCCGCCGCCGCCATCGCTGATTGAGCTCGTTATTCTGCTCCCTCGGTCTAACTGTGGTCTGGGCGCGCCAGGTGAGTACCTAGAGCTGATTCCGAATTTTTCCACCGGTGCTTTGGGTGTGGAATGGTTCTGCCGCTCGCCATCTTCCCCTCCCCCCTTGGCTCCTGTCCTCGTTCCATTCTCCGCTGTTGCGCAGCTTCTGACCGCCGAGGCGCTCCCTGTAGGCCGCACGCCCCCCTTCTCTGGGGGGATTTCCCTGCCAACGGCGGCAGCAGGCACCGGGAGGGCTCTCACTTCAAATTGAGTACCCCTACATGTAGGGGTAGAGTTTATTCCTCTCCCGATGGGATCTTCGGTGTCGCGTGTGAGGTGTTGCAGAAGAGTTTATCTTTTGTTCGGTGGCTGGCTGGTATGTAACGGGCTTGTAATTTGGTGGATGGTGTGGGGTGGGAGTGAGATGGAGGGAAGCAAACAAGCAACCCAGATTGTTCGAGCATAAATGTCAGCCGGTTTGTTATGGTATTCGCCGCTTCTTTATAGCGGCCTGAGTCGCATTTCCTGTAACGCTATGTGCTATCTGCCTCCGCTCAGTCTGTGCACCTAGTGCGAGGCAAAGTTTTAAGTAGTTTGAACTGGCTGTATACATGAGTGAAGACTATTCAGCCTGTCAAGCTTGTTGCACCACTGAGGTCACGGTCGATCTGCAGTTCAACTTTCTTTTTATATGTTGTATCTGTAACATTTACCTCTGTCTAATTCATCTCAGTTTTGAAATTTTCGGTCGGCCTTCATCACTTCGAGGCTGAAAGGTCTGCATTTCTAATACCATTTCTCCGGTTAAGAGCTTACTGGCTTCACCAAATGGCCTAGCAATTGACTGTGTTCTGGGTTCTCCCACCAAAAGCTATTCCTTACCAACCCTACCAACTTATTTAATTGTTGTAAATACTTACTTAAATGGGATTACCCCTTCCCTACATTCAAGGGAATGCAAGCCTAGTTTATGCAGTTTGTGCTTGTAACTTAATCCCTTTTTATTACCACCCCACCAACCTCCGGATCCAACGCATCATCCTCCGACACTTCCGCCATCTGCAATCCGACCCCACCACCAAAGACATCTTTCCCTCCCCATCCTTATCTGCTTTCCGGAGGGACCATTCTCTCCGTGACTCCTTTGTCCGCTCCACACTCCCTTCCAGCTCCACCACACCCGGCACTTTTCCCTGCAACCGCAGGAAGTGCTACACCTGCCCCCATACCTCTTCCCTCACCCCCATCCCAGGCCCCAAGGAGACTTTCCGCATCAAGCAGATGTTCACCTGCACATCTGCCAATGTGGTATACTGCATCCGCTGTACCCGGTGTGGCTGCCTCTACATCGGGGAAACCAAGCGGAGGCTCGGGGACCGCTTTGCAGAACACCTACCCTCGGTTCGCAATAAACAACTGCACCTCCCAGTCGCGAACCATTTCAACTCCCCCTCCCATTCCTCAGACGACATGTCCATCCTGGGCCTCCTGCAATGCCACAACGATGCCACCCGAAGGTTGCAGGAACAGCAACTCCTATTCCGCTTGGGAACCCTGCAGCCCAATGGTATCAATGTGGATTTCACAAGCTTCAAAATCTCCCCTCCCCCACCGCATCCCAAAACCAGTCCAGCTCGTCCCTGCCTCCCTAACCTGTTCTTCCTCCCACCTATCCCCTCCTCGCACCTCCATCTCCTACCGACTAACCTCATCCCGCCCCCTTGACCTGTCCCCTCCCTAACTCCCCACCTGCACTCACCTTTACTGGCTCTATCCCCGCCTCTTTGACCTGTTTGTTTCTTCTCCACCTATCCTCTCTTCTATCCGCCTCCCACTCTCTCCCTACTTATTTCAGAACCGCCTTCCCCCTCCCCCTTTTCTGATGAAGGGTCTAGGCCCGAAACGTCAGCCTCTCTGCTCCTATGATGCTGCTTGGCCTGCTGTGTTCATCCAGCCCTGCACCTTGTTGTCTTGGATTCTCCAGCATCTGCAGTTCCTACTATCTCTGATTCCCTTTTATTCCTGGTTTGTAACAGCTCTGCACCACCTATGAGAGAATATAACCTTTTGCGGTATGGTGCTTTGAACTGAATATTGTCTTCCAAGTATCTCAGCCAAACTCTTTACTGCTGTAAACTTATTAGTATTAAGGTTTCATATTCCTGTTTCAAATTAAATTGCCTGATCAGTGTTGAAGGACATGATTGAGAGTGGCTGCATTTCATGACCAAGTTCTAAAGGAGTTTTGAAAAATAATTGTAATGTAACAAATATTCGGGTCAGAAAGCTTGCATTGACAGCAGTGAAACGAATGAATAGGTCACGTACCTAGTTATTGACAAGATAAATGGTTGGCTCGTGGGCTTTAAGGGTTTGCTGCTTCATGTGCTGCTGTGGGTTCATAAATGTCCACCTATGGTGTAGTCTAAAAGACAGCTGCACAGAATTCCATCAGTAGTGACACTTTTTTGGTTATGTTCTCATCTTTGGAGTGAGATATGAGCCCTTGCACTTGAAAGTGAATATACTACCACTGAGCCACGTTTTACTGCCTTGTCAGAATTTCCTTGCCCACACTTGTGCTTTATATGCTATTCCTTTCATTTATCTGACCTTCCTGCCCCCTACAATTTTTATTTAGGACGTTGAAAGATAAAGAATTGCACTAGGAGGATTATGTACACTTGCCATGTACTTCAGCCAGCAAGAAATTACAAAATAGAAATCTCCTTTATATTTGAAATAGTGATATTTCTCCTTCTCATGAGTGGTCATAAAAATATTGAAACATTCATGTTGTTTAAAGTCAAGCATGTTCAATGTTGCAAACAGGTCAATCTTGGCTGCTGTTTTTCTCTCAATGAGCACATGGCAATCCTTTTTCTTTGCTTAAACTGTACATGTTTCTAATCTTATTATTTGGTCACTAAGTTTGATTAAATTGTATAATGCCTGTAATATGATATAACATCCCAAAGTACTTTGTCGGACTGTAGGGTGAGTTTAACCAAGTCTGCAAGGAAATAGATTAGAAGCTTGGTTAAATAGCTTGATCTTAAGATTCACCTTCAACGAAAGGAGACAAAGGTTGAAGAAGGATGTTCTGGAACTTGGGAATCAGGCAGCTTAAAGTGCAGCTGGTACTTGCGACTAAAATCTGTGATATTTAAGAGACTTGAATTGGAGGACAGTTGTCTGGTGGCGTGTCTGAAGGAGATTGGGCAGGGTTGTGAAAGGATTTGGAAATGATGAGAATTTTAAACTGGAGGTGTTTTTAACACGTCAACAAGACAGGAATGAGTGTTAGGACAGGTGACAAGTGTTTGGGATGTCATGTTATTGGGTAGAGTATGGAAGGCAGAGCAGGTGTACCATGGAATAGTCTTGGCTATTGACTTGGATTTCAACAGCAAATGACCCAAGGCAAGACTTAAACTATGGCAGCCTTAAATGGAAATGGGCAGTCTTGATGGTATGAATAAAAATAGTTGCCTCCCAGACCGCAGAGCTGGGTTCAGAGAAACCAGCACCAGTCAGTATGAGGCACACCGTGCCTCACAATGGTTGAGGAGGAGTGCTTCATGATACACAAAGCCATTGCCAGAACTGAACCCATGGCTGTTGACATTGCTCTGCATCGCAAACTGGCCGTCCATCCAACAGAGGTTAACTTTATGGTGTGAATATGTAGTTGGAAGCTCATCTCGGTGAATTGAGGTTCAGCCTTGCATAGTTGCCAAGGAGAGGAATTGAGCTGGGAAGTGGTGTTCCCAAATTGTGAATGTATGGAATCCCAATATTTGATGGAAATTTTAACATCATCCTGTCAGACAAGCAGAGATGATTATTGAAGCAGAGCTGGATGTCCTTAGAAAATGTAAATAACTTTTGGATGATGTGGGTGAGGGGCAGTGTGGAGGTGACCAAGAGTAGATCCTTGAGAGGTAAGTGAGGTAGGGATGCCTCGGGTGATTCTCTGCATACAGATTAATGGAACCAAGTGAGTATAGGCCCATCTGGCTAGGTGCTGGTTATTGGTGGTGGATGATACGGTCAACAAAACTGGTAAGGTGGGATTAAAAGATACAGTCTTCAAGTGGAGGGAAAGGAGATTCACGATGCAACAATAGTGCAAGAATGGAGGGGTCAGGGTTTGGTATTTTTGAGTAAAGATATATTTTTGAGGGAGTGAATGACTATGTTGGTGGTTAGTATTTTTGTGGCAAGTAAAATTATACAGTAGAGGCCCTTTGTTCCATGCATTCTCAATGGGTCAAAACTATTCTAAATCTACAATAATCCCAGTTTCCAGCGCCTAACATCAAATCTTATGATATTAAGTGCTCTTCCAAGTACTTTTTAGTACTTTTTAGAGATTCCCAACTCAACTACCTGCATTCCAGATTCCCACTGCCCTGAGTGGAAAGAATTTTCCTCCAATCCCCTCTAAACCTCTTGCCTTTCTACTTAAAAGTATGCTCCCTTGTTATCAACTCTTCAACTCAGGGAGCAGCTGCTTTCTATCCATCCTGGCAATGCACCTTGACCAGATCGCCCCTCAGCCTTCTCTGTTCTCAAGAAAACACATTATGCTTATCCAGAGACAACAGGGTGCAGAGCTGGATGAATGCAGCATCATAGGAGCGGAAAGGCTGACGTTTCGGGCCTAGATCCTTCATCAGAAATGCATATTACGAGAGAATTGCAGTGAGAGAGAGATCCTGAGGTTTGTCGGGAGGGAGGAGGGTAACTTCTTCAGGCTAGGCATCCTTATCCAGCTTCTCTTCATTGCTTAACTCCCTTTCCAGGCAATGTCTTGGTGACTGTCCTCTGTACCCTTTTTTTAATGTGACCAGAATTCCACACAGTGCTCCACTTGTGGCATAACCGAAGTCCTGTATAGTTCCAACATTAGTTCCCAGCTCTTATTATCTATGCCATGACTGATAAAAGCAAGTGTCATGTCTGTCTTTTTAACTGCCCTGTCGTCCATATTCCTGAAGGCAGCAGGACAGGTTAAGTGTCCCAAGATCTTTTTCTGTGCTGCTTAATGTCCTCATTTGAATAGTCCCTTGTCATGTTACTACTAAAGTGCATTACTTCTCTCTTTGCAGGTTTAAATTCCATCTGACCAGTCTGTCTATATCAAAGTCAGAGGTTTACAGCACAGAAACAGATCCTTCAGTGCAACTCATCCATGCTGACCTGATATCCTAAATAAATCTAGTCCCATTTGCCATATTTCTCTAAACCTTTCCTATTCATACACTCATCCAGATGCCTTTTAAACGTTGTAATTGTATCAGCCTCCTGCACTTCTCTAGCAGCTCATTCCATACACTTACCACCCTCTGCATGAAAAAGTTGCCCCTCAGGTCCCTTTTAAATCTTTCCCCTCTCACCTTAAAACCAATACCCTCTAGTTTTGGACTCACCCCACCCTGGGGAAAAGACCTTGTCTATTTATCCTATCCATGCCCCTCATGATTTTATAAACCTCCATAAGGTCGCCCCTCAGCCTTCAATGCTCCAGGGAAAATAGCCCCAGCCTATTCAGCCTCTCCCTACAGCTCAAACCGTCCAACCCTGGAAACATCCTTAAATCTTTTCTGAACCTTTTCAAGTTTAACAGCATCCTTCCTATAGCAGGGTGAATAGAACTGTATGCACTATGCCAATAGTGGCCTACGCAATGTTCTGTACAGCCATAACATGACCTCCCAATTCCTACAGGCAATGCATTGTCCATAAAGGCAAGCATACCAAATGCAGCCTTCACTATCCTACCTACCTGCGACTCTACTTTCAAGGAACAGTGAACCTGCACTCCTCTTTGTTCAGCAACACTCCCCTGGACCTTACTATTAAGTGTATGTTCTGCCTTCATTCATCTTTCCAAAATGCAACACCTCACACTTATCTAAACTCCATCTGCCACTACTCTGCCTATCTGATCAAGATCTCATCGCACTCTGAGGTAACCACCTTTGTCCACTACACCTGCAAACTTAATAATCATACCTCCGATGTCCATGAGGTCTGTCAAATATTCGCGTTCCTATAATAAATGGCCAGTCCAGTTGTCCTTCACTTCCATTTAAATCTGTCTGTTATGAATTTGATGTACCTCTGATCAGGGGAACAGCCAGAATGAAGGAGAGTAATCGTTTTGTGGAAGACAAAGGCGGAGCTGAGGGTGTGATTTGAGAAAATCAGTAGCTTGATTTTGAAGCCAATGGATTGTTGGGGAAATCCACTTTCCAATGGCTTCGGTACAATTATTTTCTCTGACCTTCCCAGGGTTTTGTTTTTTTTTAAAAAGGTTCTCCTGCTATTCACTGCAAGTAATCAATCACTGTTATTCATTGCAATGAATGATTTATCAAATTGCTGACATGAGAAAGACTTAACTTCTTGTATCCTTTGTCTATACAACTTGAGCCTGGTCACTTCCTAACAGTCCGTTTTTTCAATTTTATGCAAAAAGGTGTAGGAAAGTGTGGACATAGACCAGCTGTGGTCTTATGTGCACAAAACCAAGGTTAATGTTTTTACTTCACCTTATCTATCTATTTTTAACTTTAGCTTTAAAATAGTATGTGTATCATCACACCAAGGTCACTACTAACTTCATTAACATCCCCACTATATTTAGGGATACTTTGGAATAGGAAGGAATATAGACCTAGGCCACTTATCACTTAAGGCTGTTCCATTGGATGGTGACGTAGACTTGAGTGTGAATATTCCTGATTCTGTTTTCCTCGTCAAGTTTAGTTGTCCTTGCTGCAATTTAACATTACCCCAATCTTAACAAATTGATACTATCTCTCAATCCTAGCTCCAAATATTTCTGCAGTAACAGCCACCCCGGTCGATCTTTCCAATTTATGAAATTCTCTTTTACTTGCAGTGCACCAAAATATCTTAAAGTTACAAGTGACATCCTGTATGAATGAAGTCAAATTATCCCTTGTTTTTGACTGATTTGCAGCTTTTTACAAGGTTGATGATCTGTTATTCCTCACAGGAGGAATATGCTAATCAAGCCCTACTACTCTGGGATGTACCCAAATGTAAATATTTCATATGATCACCAAAATGTAAAGCTTGTTTTGCCTTATTACTGGTATCCAAAATAAAGGAGACATACATCTGGTTAGTTCAGTAAATTGTAAGTCTTCTAATGAAGTTATCTAAGTTGACTACTCTAGTTTATTCCCTTTCACCTCCAACACAATCTCAACGTGCAAGATAATACAACCCTATAGAGATGATGTGGAGTTTTTTAAAGGCAAATTTAGCAACTTTCAGCTTTATTTGTCTGCTTTTCAAGGTTACTGTACTCAATCAAAACAGCAGGTGGCTAACAGTGCACGTTAAACTTTTGACTTCAGTAATTACTGGTGAGCACAGCTGGCATAAAATATATTTCTTTGGACATACTGGATTGAAAACGTTTCAAACAGCTCCCTGTTGTAGATCCTTATTGACCTTAAATGACGTGAGTAGGGAATCCAGACCAGAGATCACAGTTTAAGATTGAGGCAATCATTTAGGACTAAAATGAGAAGTTTTTTCACCTTCAGAATGTCAAGTCTGGAGTTCTGTGCCATGAAGTGGTTGAAGCCAGAGCATTGAATGTTTTCAAGAAAGAGTTATAGTTCTTAGGATCAAAGGGTATCGGGAGAAAGCAGGAACAGGTTTCTGAGTTGGATGATCGGCCTTGATTATGTTGAATGGCAGAGCAGGCTTGAATAGCCTACCTTTCCTAATTCTGAATTTCTGAAGTGTTTTCCCACAACTCATCATCCATCAGTGTCTCTCTACTATTGCATAATTGGGTGACAGAAAATGTTCGCATTCATATTTGTATAACAGTAACCCGAGAAATGCTTATGATTACTTATTTCCACCCCCCCCCCGCCCCGCCTTCCTCCAGTTATCTCTGGTATGCCTTAATCTATCTTTGGACCTGCGTGTTTCTTATCTACATGCTCCCTGATGACATCTGAAGACAATTTTGTTTTTACATGCACACTGACATAGCAAGCTTTGGGTGACTGTCTAGACTTTGCACATAGTCCCCTGTCTGTGGTATCCTCCAGGTGCTCTGGTTTCCTCCCACAGTTCAAATGTGCATGTTAGGTGGATTGGCCATGCTAAATTTCTCAATGTCCAGGATGTGCAGGCTTAGTGGATTTGCCATGGGAAATGCAGTGTTAGAGATATTGTAAGGTGGTTCTGGATAGGGTGCTATTGTGTCAGTGTGGACTCAATGAGCTGAAAGGCCTGCTTCCATGCTGTAGGAATTCTATAATTGAGTAAAAGTCAGTGCCTTTGCACACTTTCTGGCAATGCCATATGTAATTTACTAGTTATTTGTATTCATCCTGACTTTAGTTGTTATCCAGTATGTACTACATTTTTTCAAGTTTGACCTAACTTGTAGAATAGCTCTACTGTGCACTGTTTCCTTGCATTGATTTGCACCCTTATTTCTTTCCCTGTTGGCTCTGAATAGCTGGGACTACACTGTTTTAAATTTTCATAGGATACTTACAGGTGGTTTTGTTAATACCATGAGCTTTTTAAGAACCAGTCTGAATTGGGATTGTTTGCTTTAGTGTGACAGCTTGGTTTTGTTACTTGTGACTATCACTATCAAGGACAGTAACTAAAACTTTGCTTTTTTTAACTAGCTTTCCTGACTGTTATCATGGCTCGTGGGCAGCAGAAGATACAAGCTCAGCAGAAGAATGCCAAGAGACAAGCTGAAAAGAAAAAGGGAGGATCTGATCAAAAAGCAGCTGCAAAAGCAGCACTTGTGCACACATGTCCTGTTTGCAAGGTAAAGGAATAACTTTCAGAGCAATACTGTTGCAATGTAGGGTTAGGATGTACCTGTTATGTTGTTTAGATTAACTGCTATGAGCTGTTGAATTTGAGTTGTTGTAAATCATGGTTTTAAACACTTGCAAAAATTCCAGATTAATTGTGCAGATGATTTTAATTATAATTTACAGCAAGCTAATTGGTTTTTCTTGTCAATTTGCTGACTTTTATTAATTTTAACAATAGGTCTTCAGTGGGACAGCTGATTAAAATTTGACCCATACAGTCCAGGGATATCTCTGGCTTATACCTCTGTTTATTAAGTGATTGCTTAATTCAGATTCAGCCAGACTTCGCAAATTGTTTATGCCATGGCTTCATCAGAAGGAAAACAACCAAAAGTTCTGTTACTGAAAGCTGATAGTATGAATGTCAATGAAGGGCCGATTCAAATTTGTGCTGCTTGAAGTTATGTAACCAGCCAGACATTGGTTTCTTGCATATAGCTTTATACTGTTCATCTTTACTCGTGAGGAGAAAGACTGGGTGAGACGTGACTGACCACAACTGAAATTGTTCCTTTATCTGAGTACATGACTTGGAAAGGTTTGAGGATAAAATAAGAGAAAAGCTACAGCTCAAAGCCTTGTGATTTCCAATGCTGGGTTCTCAGTTTAATTCCAACACATACTAGGGTTTCATCTATACTTCAATCCTGACTCAGCTCAGCTAACTTTGAAACAGGTTAGAGATTCAATCCAGACTGCTCAACATTTTGACTTGTATTTGAGTAATGCTGAGAGCCATTGTGTAATTCTTACTACATTATAGCTGTTCCTTTTTTTGACTTGAAGCTACTAGGCACTGAGATAATTTTAGTAACGGTTATTTACCTATTTATCACATACTTACCTCTACAGTATTTTTTCCTTTCAGACACAGATGCCAGATCCTAAAACTTTCAAACAACACTTTGAGAGTAAACACCCTAAATCTCCATTGCCTCCTGAATTAGTTGATGTACAGGCATAAAAAGAAAACAAGACTTGGATTTGGGTGAGAAACTTTAAGTTTATTGCTAAGTAACCAGAAAGGGGGGAAACAATCTGTGTATGCAGCCTTTAAATTCAGGGAACGGTTGAGCTGATATTTTGATTCTTTATTTTCCCATAATTTTTTAATAACTTGTGCAGAGAATTCTTTATGGATTTATTGCAAGTACTTGAGATTTTGGCTGCTTAATTTGATGCTTGTTTTCATTTTAATTTCGAAATTAGCTAAATATAAATAAAGGGCCAAACTCTAATAGCTAAAATGTATTGTAACTTTTCAATATACCTTTTGCTTTAATAAAGTCACATCATTTTACCAACTCCATCTGGCTGGTAACTCAATCATGTAAATGAAAATGAGGTGGCATATCTTTGACATTTTTCTCAAAAGCAAATGCCTGTTTTCTACTTCATGTTCTGATTTAGAAATATGGCTGCAAGTAACTGATCAATGTATTGTTTACCTTCATTATCAATCTTTTTGCACATAAACAACATCCCAAGGATTCTACAGTAGTCGAATTTTATAGCAAGTTGATATTATAAACAGAAAACTTGGACTCCTGGAGCAGGCTTTAAAAATACTGAATAAAAATACTTTTTATTAAGTATTGTAGCAAGTAAGTGATTAAAATGCTAATTTTTAGAAAATAAAAGTTCCCACATAACATCTAGCCACCAAAAACTAGCTGTTCTTACCTGACTAGTTGGGCCAGCCAGCTGTTGACTAGTAGCTAACCAAACTTAAATAGCCCAGAAAAAATAAGTGCTTCTGAGTGGTGTGCAATACAGCCAGAAGACACCTATTAAACTATATTCCATACTCATATTCCTAAGCGCAATGCCAGGATCACTGCCTCAACTTCTGCAAAATTAGTTAACACAAGCTCACATGGGGCTGTGCAACTTTTTTTCAAGAGCTACTCAAATTAGTGTTTATATTTTAAAATTTAGACTCTGTTGAAACACCCTGTATCTTCCATTGATATTTGCCAATATATTGTGCCGTTGAGATTGACTTAGTTGTAATTTGGCATAATTAATCATGCAATTTTGAATCAAACTCTACTATAGTAATCCTGTTTGCATGTTTCTTTCTCTTTACTAGTTATTCTTTTGTAGTTGGGCATTAGACAGCTAGTCCTAATAGCTTCAATGCAGATTATTCTAGGCTGCTACTTCGGGGGGAACAGTAATAGAAATTAAGAGATGGAATTGAGAAATGACTGCAGTTGCAATTTTGAGTTTTGATGTTGAGGATAAATGAAATGAGTGGAATTTGGCTTTGCCACTTGGTGGAAAATGCATTGCATGTTATAATTGCTGTATTCTTATTTGAGCTGGGATGTAGGATTGAGCGCAGTTGGTTCCACTTGCACACTTACAACAGTAATGGAGAAAATATGTGAAGGTTTTGAAATAAGTGAACTTCAAAATGGCTTCATTTATGTGGCTTGTCTGCAGTTTTTTTATTTTGCATTGACACTGGTACACTTAAGGTTATGTAAAGGAGAGAACTTTGTTACAGAATGAAGTGTCTTCTATAAATAAGTCTGCATATTAATGCCAACTAGATCAGGATGAGTTGGAGGCCAAGCATAGAACTGTTAATGGAAACATGCCTGCATCTTGAGATGGGATTTGCTGAGATGTTCAACATTCTGACAATGTTTTTTTTGAAATCTGTGCCTTTGATAGACTTACTTCTGTCTTGTACTTAAGATATTTCCTAATCAACCTGTTCAGAGATGTTATTACACACCTCTAGAGCAGATAGGACTTGAATCTAGGTCCCTTGGTTCAGTGATTGGGACACTTAAACTGCTCCACAAGAGCCTTTTTCAGGGAGGTTGATCAAAGGAAACCAAACCATGCGCACCCCTGCACACAGGGCAGCGGGAGCCCTCCCTAGGCCAAAAATTCTGGCTTATTGAATTATCGACATGAAAGTCTATTTTAACCTGGCACCAGAACGTAGTTGTTTCACCAAACCCAATTTTTCTACACAACCCCAAAAAAGGCTTCATGTGTCATATAACAAATTTGTTGAAAGATTTCTCTTGGAGCATCAACAAATTTCTGTAAATGTAACAATGCTTCCTGTCCTTTTGCTGTCATTGTAACATTGGAAAATAATTTATTATGAGCTTCCATCTTTCTGGGGAGGCTTCAGACCAATGCACATCAGCAACCTGCTCTGAAAATTCTCATTGACCAATTTCCATAACTCCATCTGACACATTCCACAATGCTGACAAGGTTTCACGTGGTAGACTAACTAGTAAAGTTAAACCACAAGGGATTCATGATGAGCTTGCTAGTTGGATACAAAATTGGCTTTATGTTAGGAGACAGGGTCATGGTGGAAGGTTGTTTCTTGGACTGGAGGCCTGTGACCAGTGTTCCACGGGTCGGTACAGTGTTCACTTATGTCATTTGCATAAATGGTTTGGATGAGAATATGAGGCATGTTTAGTAAGTACATGGATGACACAAATTGGTAGTATAATGGACAGTGAAGAATATCTAAGCTAACAGATCTTGATCAATTGGGTCAATGGGCTGAGGAGTGGCAGATGGAGTTTAATTTGGATAAATGCGAGGTATTGCATTTTGTTAAAAACAAACAAGGACAGGACTTATACAATTAATGGTAGGACCCAGGGTGCAAGTACATAATTATTTGAAACTTGCATCACAGACAGTGGTTAAGGCATTTAGAATGCTTGCCTTTGCTTACTCCTTTGAGCAAAGGAGTTGGGACGTCACATTGATGTTGTACAGGATGTTGGTGATGCCTCTTCAGGAATATTGTGTGTAGTTCTGGTTGCCCTGTTATAGGAAGGATGTTATTAAACTGAAAACGATTGAGAAAAGATTTACCAGGATATTGGAGGGTTTGGGTTATAAAAATAGGCTGGAGTGTTTTTCACTGCACTGTAGGAGGTTGAAGGGTGACCTTGTAGAGCTTCATAAAATGATGGGCATAGATGGGTCTTTTCTCTAAGATGGGGCAGTTCAAAACTAGGAGGTATATTTTTAAGATGAGAAAGATTTAAAAACGAGCGGCATTTTTTTTTTAGTGGTTAGTCTGGAATGAACTACCAGAGGAAATGGTGGAAGTAGGTACGTTAGTGTTTAAAAGACATTTGGATTAGTGCGTGAATAAGATGGTTTTGGAGGATGTGGGCCAAATGCAGGCAGATGTGACTAGTTTGTGAACATCGTTGGCGTGGACTGGTTTCACCAAAGGATCTGTTTCCATGCTGTATGACTGTAAAACAGATTATCATTTTATAAATAAATGCTGTGGGTTGTTTTAAGATAATTGGGTGAATTGAATTTATTAAGAGATACTGTAAAAAAGATGATGTCCAGATCCATATGAGTTGTTTCCTTGGACTATACCCTATGTTAAGTTTTGTAGAATTCTGTTCATTTTTTTTAATTGTTAACTGACAAGTCAAAATGTTATCTGACCAATTGAGCTTGTTTGGCTAGTGTGTGACAAACTGAGTGAATTTTTGTCCATATAGTCACATTAACAACAATAAATTTTATAGAATGAATAATCAAATGAACAGTTGGCTAACTTAAATTTTATAGCTATTTGCTGGTGCAAGATGTGATTTCTGGCTTTATTGCATGTTTCTAACCTAATTTTTGTGATTACTTTCAGACTTGGAATTCTGCTGACATGATGCACTGAATCAACTACAAGGCCTGGAAAAGATGAAGGATATTTGATTCTTCAACCTTTTCCCTTTCTACTTACTACTGAACTGTTGATGTTTATTCCTTTCATGTTTTGGGGGCAAGGGAGCATTGGAATGAAGATTTTTTTTTTTTGTTCAGAAATTACAAAGCTGCCAATTCTTCAAGTGAGTTGGGTGAGAAAGTGGTACTAATGTAGTGATAGACCAGTACTAATATTTGCTTCTCTTCCATTCACTGCTATTAAGCACTGGCATCATTGTGATACTTGTACTGCTGGAGACAAATGCAAAACTGTAATCTTATCTATCTACAATTAATCGGTTTTGCGGGAACCTCTTGGTGAATATTGTTGCTTTACAAGTTTAGTTAGGTTAGTGTACTTGTCACTAACAAAATACCTTGCTAAACATGGGCTGGTCATCTACAATAGGATTTGTATCCATTTTGGCCTGTATTCAGCACCTTCTTTGTAGAAGGGTTGTTGCAATATTAAAATTTGTTCCCCTGTTGCAATCTTCACTTGATTGATCAAAACATGAAGATGTCTAAAGATGATAGACTCTCAAGTGGATATTTCCAAGGATTGCAGAATATTTAAACTCATAACCACTTCTCTCAAGTGCTTGATTGCCTGGAAAATAAGTTTTCAGCTGAGCTCCATAATTTTTCTGTTGCAAGTATACTGTAGCATCCCTATGAGTTTAAAATACATTAATGTGGAGCAGACAGTTGAAGAGCCACTGTCTCGCTGCATAAATGCTAATAAATGAATGTGTTGGAGCTTTGTTTTCTAACTTGCTTTGCAGCTTAAAATTGTAGCATTAACATCTTATTGCAAAGCTGGCATGTTGATATGTGACATGTCTTAACTAGTTGTGGTTTTTGTCTGAAACTTTAGTTTGAAGGGGTTTCTCAGAAATAGTGAAGCTGATCCTTAAATTGACTTTTTCCTATTTAAAATCACAATAACTACGATTGCAATAGCTTGTATATTCACCTAGTTCTGCTCCTAATCCTTTAGCCCTGTTTTTCTGTAGCAATTTTGCATAGTCATACACATGCAGTATTTTGTGATTTATTGGAGCTCATTGTAATTTCTTTAATAAATATCAGAAGCACATTTTCTTGTAAACAGAATGGCTCAATTCATTATTCTTAGTGCTGAACTGAGTCTAGTATTCCTGCCAATGTGATGTATTGTTTCCAACAATGTGGCACTTGATTTTAATCTTCAGTAACTTTTCTAGATTAAAGTGAACTTGTACTGTAAACCTCTTGGTGTAGTCTGACACAAAGTTTCTTGTAAATGCTTTGGTTTAAATGGAAGTGGGATCACCTATATAAACACACAATGGGCAAATGAAAATATTTCTGTTCGAATGGTGTGCAAGAAAGTAAAAGTTATTTGTATCTTAAGGTATGCAGTTAAAGAATTGTAGATCGGCTGTAGACGGATAGTGTAGTCCCTTATTGAATCAGGTACACAGGAAGAAATAAAAAGATTCACTTTGATTTAGCTTCTACTTAAAGACTGATTTGACTGAGGCATATAAATTCAAACATTCCCATATTTGGTGTAAAACTTAAACTGGCTTGAGAAAGTAGCACAGTCCATTTAACATTGAACTAATTCATGTTTTGCTTCATTCCAATATGCCTGTAACAATAGTAAAATGCACTGTGCCATTCTGGTTTGGCCTACAATTTGTGCTAAACAGTTTCAAATTCAGGATCCAAATATACAAGTTAGTTGCACAGGAAGGGAACGGGGGGAAAGTGATTTAAATTTTTACGCTGATTCAGGAGGATGCTTGATTGTTGTGTATCGGTCACGTGTACGTGTCTATTTCCGATATATAAAATCGGACTATAGAACCCAACTGAAATGGGATTGACAACTTGTCTTTGTATTGTAGATTGATGCACAGTATGCTATTCTTGAAATTTAGAGTTGAACACCAGCTGGAATTTCAGCAATTTGTGGACATGGGTTCTAGTGACTTTGTGCCAAATGTGTTTTTGGCTGGAGCTGCTTGACAGGTTTTTCTCTCGCCCTTTTTTTTTCTTCCCCTCTCCCTCTTTTCCTTGCTCCCCTTATTTTCGGGATTGTATTTCCCTTTAACTTCATTTTCAGTTGTTTTAGTTTTTGGAAAAAAATTCTCATTGCCAAATGTTTGTAGACATGTCTCACCTGTTTTAACTTCTGCCTTCTCTAGCTTTTCTCTTTATTAAATAGATGTTACAAAATATTAACTCTACAAACAACGGGCTTTATATTCTGTAAAAACATGCCCTAAAGCTTCAGTTGATGAAATTAGGAATATCCTGTTCCTAATATAAGCAGCTAATGCTGCATTGACACGTAATATATCCATGTAGCTATATTTTTGGGTGGTAATTTAAAATTGATCCTACTTTTCAGAACATCATACTTCTATTATACTTTGAGCTCTTAATTGAATTTCACTAGTTTCCTGACACAAGCTTTTGAGTATTTAAAGCCTCAGTCTTTAAAGTCAAATTTCATATCTGGTACAGTTGTAATGTGCCAATAAATGATTTGCATTATAAAAGTTGTTTCCAATAATGGGAGTTTTTGCATTTGAGTGTTTTATTGGTCTATCAGATGTTGGCGTTTTGTTCCTTTTGCATACAGAATGTTGCATTTTGTAAACAATATTTAAGTCTTTTGGTCTCTATTATCATTTCAAAAGGAGTGCGCTTGTATTAAGGAATTCTGCAGTATAAAATTATTGCAAGTCAAGCTATCTGGTAAGGGATTTTAACAGATGACTTTAAGTAATAAAGAACTTGTATAACACTTTTCATGTCCTTTGTATGTTCCATACACTTGCAGAATTTAAGTGAAATGTTTCTTTAACCAGTGATTAACTACTTGAAGCTCCTTCTTGACAGCCATCAGACTGTGCTAAATTGTTATGCAATATGTTTTAGCATTGATTTATTGGGGTCGCAGTGTTAAATCACTTACATTTGCTGTTTTCATGAGTTAGTTCCAAGATGTTTCATTACTCAGCAAAAATAGTAGAACCAGAGAGCAAAGCTGAATGTATGGCATCTGCAGCCAGATGCCAACCATGTAACTTTGAGATTAGTTATGAGGAAGGATGAAATTGGTGATTTTCAGTTGAGCTGTTTAACCACCTTTTGATTACCAAAAAATGTTACTTAAATTTCTCCCAATGTACATTAGCTGATATTTTCACAATTTAGGAAAAATGGAAAATTTTCACTGAGTGCTTTCAAAGGGATTGGGTTTTTGTCTGTAGTTTTGGCCACAGTGTTACGCCAATGAAAACACTGTTTTGCAAAGTAAACCTCTCCTAATGGAATTAGGAAACTCTTTTCAATTATTAACCTTAAATTCCCCTATATCCATAACACAATTGTTCAGGATTTGGTAACTAACTTTATCAACAACCTAATTATAGTTTTGTAGTGCTTCCTGTCCTTTTTTCTTTGCCATCTATAACCTTTTGTACATTTTAGATTTAATTTTGCTATTGTAAGCATTGGCTGTTCACTGGAGGAAAAAAGTGAACTTTGACCTTGGGTAAAAGTAGTATATAATATTTCTTTATCCTCATTGAAGGTTTCTATTATCCCTGGTGAGGATTTTAACGGTGGAATAAAATTCAAAACAGATCTTTGTACGAATTAATCGTACAGCTTGAATTTTAAGGTGAATTTCTGGAGCCCAGTGACTATGCCTATCTATTATCTTTGTGATTTTAACCAGAAGATTTGAATATGGCTTATTCACGTGTGATTTGTGCCACATGAAATTGGAGCATGCATTCTCTACATCTATCTAGTACGTTGAATTTGGTGGTGTCATTATATCTGTGGTAATGCAGTTGATGCAATCATATGGTAAATATTTTAATGTCAAAAGCAGTACAGTTAAACTATTCCCAAAAACACATGAAAAACGGCTCCAAGTAGATAAGTAATTTAAAAACCTAAGTCTAAAGGCAGGTTTTTAAAGCTGGAGGGATATACGAATAGAGTAGAACTTGGGTTTAGGCAACATCAGCCAGTGGTGGGCCAACGATTTGTGTATGTGTAGAGACACAATTAGAGGGATATAGTATTCTTAGCAATTAGTAGGAGTGTGGAAGATTTAAATGTGGAGGTATTCAATTCTGACTGAGCCTGCTCTACCATTCAGTAGGATCATAGGAATTGAAGATTAGCTTCCTGCACTGTCCCCAAAACTTTAATGACCTTCACTACCCAAAAAACTATATCTCGAATATACCCAATAATTGAGCATCCTTGGCTCTCCAATACATATTTTAAATTTTTGGTTTCAGTGAAAGGCTTGTAAATATCTGTCTCAACTCACCTCAACATTTCACCTCTTTTGCTGATACTGGTCTGTTAACTTACTCAGCTTCAACTCTTTGGGGATATATAGGCCTATTCAACTTTATCTTCCCTCCTGAGAACAATTTCCCCTCCTCCTTGGGTCAGGGAATCAATATAGTGAACTGTAGTGAATACTCCCTGGAGGTAATTATAGGTATATCCTATCTTGAGTAAAAGTCCAAAATGACAGTACTTCAGTTGTGATCTCAAGGCCTGATATAACTAGTAAGACATCCTTACGCTTGTACTCCAATCTCTTTGCAATATAGGTTAACATACTTTTCCAATTATTTGTACCTTTTTAAATTTTCCATGTTTCAGGGATAAGGACACCTAGATCCCTCTATATGCCAATGTTTCTTTAGTCTCACCATGTGAAATATTCTTTTTTTAATATACCGAAGTGGAAAATTTCACACTTGCCGAAGTAACGTTCCAATTAACATGTCGAGCCTAATCATAACCTATCTAATCTCTTTGTAGTCTGTGTGTCCTACTTGTGTGAGAATAAGATGTCATCAGCAAACTGGGGTAGTTATATGTGAGTCCCTCAACAAAGTTATTGACAGATTCAAACTAGCTGAAGCCTAAGCACTGATTCCTGCCAATGTGAATAATTAGTTTAATCTTCCTCTTTTGTCTTAACCAATCTTCAATCTAATATTCCTATATCATAAAATCTAATTTTGTATAATAAACTCTAAAATAGGACTTTGCTTTTGGAAAATTTAAAAAAACATTATCTATTGACTTTCTTCCTGATCTGACTGACTAGTTAGGACCTCAAAGGAAACTTGCTAACAAATTTGTGGCCTGAAATCAGTTAATGTTTCAGGTCCAGTGACTCTCCTTCAGAATGTTTTGGGTTAACTGATTTCTCTCCACAGGTGCTGCCAGACTTGCTGAGCTTTCCCAGCAATTTGTTTTTTTAAGATTTCGAGCATCTGTGGTTCTTTTGGGTTTTACTTTCCTAACAAATTTGTTTGGACTGCAGGGAGGATGAGCAAACTGACCAGAGCATTTCGGTACAGTGAGCTAGTCAAGTAGGGGACAATAGTAGGAATGTAGTTGTAGTAGGGGACAGACTGGTTACAGAGATGAATACTGTTCTGTGCAGCTGAAATGGGAGTCCTGGAGTCTGGTTGTCCAGTGCCATGAATAAGGACTTTGTGGGGGTGGTGGGGGGAGGAAGAGCAGCGAAGAAGAACTTGGAGGGATAGGAATCCATTAATCCATGTTGATGGTAGCAACATTTGTAGCACCAGAAAGGAGGACTTGATGAAAGATCAAATAAAACTTAATTTAAAAACCAAAACCTCAAAGGGGTGTGTGTGGAGAAGATTGAGAGAAGGGGGAATATAAGCTTATGAAGCAAGAGGACTTAACATTTCAGGGCAGGTATTTGGATAATGATAACCCAGAGTGGGCCAGTGCTTACAAACAGAAATACAGTAAATATTTTCAGAAAAATAGTTAAAAGGCAAAATTAGTGGCTCTTTACTGTGTAATGTTTGGAACAAAACCGATGATTTAGCTGCACAAATACAGATTGAGTACGGTCTTGTAACTTTTTCTGTAATGGCTATAAGATCAAAGCCGGGAATGAAATATTCAGGAGTATGTGACTTCTAGAAAGGATAGGCAGGAAGGAAAGGATTGTGAGGTAGCGTCCTTAATTCCGGACTGAATAAGTACGATTGCAAGAAATTATCTTGAATCAGACAGTGTAGAATCTATACA